GATCCTGATTTGTAACTGTGACAGACTTGCAGCTACAGGCCACAGAGTAGCAGCTTAGTAGCCCACAAAGTGATTCTTGTCCATAGATGTGTTTTCTTTGGCTTGCAGAGGGTTGGCCTAAATGATGTTTGAAATTCTGGAATGCTGTTATTCTTGAGAATGATGGAACATCTGGAACATTGAAATTACATTCTTGCCTGGCAGCAAACATTGCTAAGAGGTGGCTGCTCGCTCTAGATAGAGTATTTACTTTCTCATTGGCCACAGCCTCTAAGATAACCAACTATCTCTTTAACACCAGGCTTTCTTCATTCAATTTGTTGTTGTGGCTGTTATTACATAGGAAGTATTTGAGTTGAAACCCTTGGAATAGGCAATTGGAGGTTATAAAGTTATTAAAGTTATATTTTGGAAAAAATAATTTCTGATTCTAATTTAGCTGAAAATAGCATACCAGAGGGGAACCAGGAAGCAAGTTAAAGCTGGAGATCAAGAAAAGGATAAGATGTGGGTTCTGACAATTAGGAGTGGAAAGAAAATCTGAGAAAAGAGTGTTCTTTCATAACCCTTTAAGCAGAAGGAAGTAACAGATGTCCACAAATCAGAAGAGTATAGAACTTGAGGGTGTTTCCATATAGCCCAATCCTTATCTCCTGTTCAGCTCATATATACTTATTTAAATGACTTTGAACTCTCCTGAGTCTGAAAGAGCTCTTCAAAGGTGGGTTTCACGGTATCTTTTTATCTCAGCAGGACTGGGGTTTGAACTCAGGGTTTCTTGCTTGATAGGCAGGTGCTCTACTACTTGAGCACTTCTAGATCTTTTTGCTCTAGTTTTTTTCTAGTACTGAGACTTGAGATCAGGGCCTCATGCTTACTCTGCTTGCTTGCACTCTACCATTTAAGTCATACCTTAAGTCCAGCATTTTACTGGTTACTTGGAGATGGAGGTTCACAGACTTTTCTGGCCAGGCTAGCTATAAAGCTCTATCCTCCAGGTTTTGGTATCCTGAATAGCTAGAATTATAGGCATAAGCCACCAGCCCCCACTTACTCTGGTTATTTTTCAGATAGGATCACACTTTGTGTGAGGCTGGTTTGGAATGGCTGGCATACTCCATCACATCCAGCTAATGCTTAGGAAGGTATCTCATGTTTCTCATTTGTTTTGCAGGGGATGGCTTTGGATCATTATCCTCCTGATATGTGCCACTCCAGTAGCTAGAATTATAGATATGAGTCTTTGATATCTGGTGTACAGTATGTACCAGTCAATCTGAAGGGCCTACCTCATAGCCTGGCAAATAATAGATGATTAATAAATATTTAATCAATGCATAAATTATAAGGATTCTCTACTTTGCTTATAATTTTTTGACAGCAATCAGGGCTTCAAATTTTCACTCAGCTTTTTACTCATTACTGGTACTCCACCACAAAAAAACACATCTCCATATACAGCTTTTTGTTGATTGTTTTGAGATAAGAATCTCTCAGATTTGTCTGCCTAGACTGGCTCCAAACCATAATTTCAGATTTCGGCCTCTTCAGTAGCTAGAATTATAGATGTGAGCCTCCAGCACCTGGCATAAAATGATTTTTTAAAAGGTTAATATTTTAATTGCATAAAAATATATGCTTTTGATCAATAGATACCACCTTAAAGTTTTGATAAAAAGTATTCTTCCCAATGGCAGTGTTATTTTGGGGGTTCTGGAAACTTTAGGAAATGAGACCCAGATGGAAAAAGTGTGTTACTAGGAATGTGTATCCTGTCCTTTCTTCCTTCTTTTTATCTTTCCTTCCTTCCTTTCTTCCTTCCTCCCTCCCTCATCCCTTGTGTTCTCAAATATCTCTCTCCCTTTCTCATGCTCTCTTCTTTTCTCTCTGTATCTCTCTGTATAACTCTGTATCTCTCTGTATCTCTATCTCTCTCTGTCTCTCTCTGTGTCTCTGTCTCTCTGTGTCTCTGTCTCTGTCTGTCTCTATCTCTGTGTGTCTCTCTGTCTCTCTGTGTCTCTGTCTCTGTCTGTCTCTGTCTCTGTCTGTCTGTCTGTCTGTATGTATGTCTCTCTCTCTCTCTCTCTCTGTCTCCTTCTTCCTGGCTACCTTGAGGTAGCCAAATTTGTTCCTTTGCTCCCTTGCTCCTCCCTACCCTTCCTGACATGATGTTCTGTCTCATCACTTCCCAGAAACAGCAGACTTGTTTGAGCATGAAGCAAAATCTTAAAATACTTCCATCTTTTATGCTGTGCTGTCAGATATTTTGTTATAATGAGGAAAGATTGTAATAACACAAACAATGAACATGAGTTGAATCTTAAGGACACAATGGTGGACACAAACCATTTTGATCCATTTGAACTAATTTTGAATTAAGAATCATTTTAAATAAATTTTCCATGTACATGTTTGGTTTTCTTTTTCTCTCTGTGTGTGTGTGTGTGTGTGTGTGTGTGTGAGAGAGAGAGAGAGAGAGAGAGAGAGAGAGAGAGAGAGAGAGAGAGAGAGAGAGAGCCACATGCCAGTAATGGGGCTTGAACTAAGGGCCTTGTACTCTAGCATTGTTTTTGTGTTCAAGGCTTCTACTTCTGGCTTTTTGTTGAAATTGGAAATAAGAGTTTCTCATCTTTGTCTGCCCAAGCTGACTTTGAACCTTAATCCTCGGATCTCAGCCTCCTGAGTAGTTAAGATTATAGGCATGAGCCACTTACTCCAGTATTTGATAATAGTCAATATAGTCAATATCCCAATGAATTCCCTTTGTACAACTAACATTAGTCACTTAAAAAAGAAAGAGAAGGGTTAATGTCTTCTTTCAGAACCATTTCTTAAAAAGTCAATCCTTTCTCTGTACAATTGCTTCTGGAAATTTATTTGTCAATTCCCAATTGATGACATGCGTTTTCATTTAAGATTCTGTTGGAAAGCTGACTCTGCGCTCAGGAAACCTGTAGTTCAATGAGGCAAGTATTAGGAGGAGTTTTGTGAAGGAGAAATACTGGATGTTATCAAAACACATTCAAAGGTGTGGGGGAAGGGGACTTAAGCAAGCTTAGAAGATGCAGGAAGTCTTCCAGGAACTGGCAAGGCCTCTAGGTAGGTACTAGGTAAGTAGGGAGAAGGATAAGGTAGCATTCACATAGAAGGATTAGTGTGTACAGAGGCAGGAAGGACTATAGGGCATTTGAGGAACTGGATAAAGGGCAGGGTGAGTGAAGGCCAGAAAGCAGAAAGGAAAGTTGTATGAGATGAGGTCAGAGAGTTTGGAGAGGGGCCAGGTCATGTGGGTGTGGTTAAAATTTGGACTTTCATACTATGAACAAAAAGCCAAAGAGCATTTAAGTAGGGAAATGATAGGATCACATTCAACATCCTAAAAGAACCATAGGCCACACAAACATACAGTGACAATTGGGACAAATGTCTAAAGACAATTATACAGAGAAAGGATAATCTTTCCAATAAATATTGCTGAAGGGTGAGGACTTCTACATAGAAGAATGGATATTTATGTAGAGAAATATACCCAAAAATGTATCATTGGCCTAAATGCAAAATTTAAATATATACAGTTTCTAGGGAAAAAAACATGGAGCACAACACTTGTGATCTTGAGTTAGAAAATCATTTCTTACATTTGATAGCAAAATATTCCATCAGCAAACAAATTGATGCATTAGACTTCAAATTTAAAATTTTTGCTTGTGAAGATACACTAGTAAGAAAGACAATAAAAGCTAAATATAGACAGGGAAAGTATTGTTAATTGGATACAGAATTTATTTTTACTGTAGATAAATATTTCTAAAAACTCCATAATAACATTTAAGCAGCACAATTTTTATTTTATTTTATTTTATTTTTCCAGAGCTGAGGACCGAACCCAGGGCCTTGCGTGTGCCGGGCGGGCGCCCTTCCACTGGGCTAAACCCCCAGCCCTGCAGCACAATTTTTAAAAGAAGGAAAAATTTTTGTCAGAGCCTCCCTTCATCTGAAAAAAATGCCAGTGAAAAATTAGCACAGGGAAAATGTTTTACATAAGTAATTATTCATTGAATAAATACAAATTAAATGTGAAAGCTTTATTTATATACATACAATACTAAAATAGTTGACTATTTAAAATGTTGATGAAGATGTAAAGAAACTGTTCTCATCTCTTATAGGGTGAAAATGTAAAATATAGTTTCTTTCTTTTTTGGTAGTTTTAGGACTTGAACTCAGGACCTTATAATTGTAAGACAAACACCTACGATCTGAGCCACACTCCAGCCCACGCTGGCACCTTCTCAAAAAAGTAAATATACACTTATTTTGTCAGTTATCTACTGCACTGCTAAGTATATATTCAAGAGAAATTAAAATATATATCCATAGAAGCTTCATTTGTAACAGCTCCAAAGTGAAAAGAATAGAAATATCAATCAACAAGTGAATGAATGAAATTGGGCCACCACAGTGTTCCACTTTTAATACCTTTGATAGCTATGAAGGCATTGTGTTAAGTGAAAGATAAAAGACATAAATGTCACAAGTATAATTTCATTGCTATAATATTCTGGAAAGTAAAACATATATCAGATTATTGGCTGTCTGAGGGGAACCTCCTGGAGGAGAGTGAGTGAGTGGAGATGGAAGGAATACAAAGAAGCACCAAAGAAAACTTTGGAGATAAGAAATATGTTAACTGCCTTTATTGTGTGATAATTTCATCTGTCTATGAATATTTTATGGATTTGTTTTTTCAATCGTGGGGCTTGAACTCTGGGCCTGGGCGCTGTCCCTCAGCTCTTCAGCTCAAGGCTAGCGTTCTACCGCTTGAGCCACAGCGCCACTTCCACTTTTCTAGTGGTTTTATTGGAGATAAGAGTGTCACAGACTTTCCTGCCCGGGCTGGCTTTGAACCATGGTCCTCAGATCTCAGCCTCCTGAGTAGCTAGAATTACAGGCGTGAGCCACCGGCGCCCGGTTTGGATTTTTTTTTAATTAATCATTATAACCTTTGCTTTGCTCATTGACTTTTGGAAACTAGTGAATGTGGTGTCAAAAGGCGCAAACTAATGCTTCACAGGCTTTTCCTGCCCTTAAATATGTTAAAAATTATCTGTACAACTTGGGGGGAGGGTTGACTGAGAGGGAGAGAAAGAGGGAGAAAAATGAGGGAAGGGGTATCAAGTTAGACAGGATATGTAATCACTACCTTACTTATATAACTGTAATCTCTCTGTACATCACCTTGACAATAATTTTTATTTAAAAAATAGTATCTTTGGTGCTAGAGCTGCATAAGCAATTGTGAAAGATGAATGCTTGGGGAAGTTTGCTCTACTTGAATGCCATGTATTATGCAAAGGTGATTTCGTGATGTCCTTGATGACGATTTTGAATGTTTGATCTTCAGAAGTTGCTTGGATCACATACAATTTCCAGGACTCTGGGGAGTAGTTAAAGCCTCTGGACCATCTATAATATAAATTTAAGACAATATATGAACAAATGTTTCAACATTTTTTTTAAAAAATAGCAAAATTTTACAGTTTATGACATGTCAATTATACCTTGATAAAACTTTTTTTTTAATATTTTTTTGCTGTGCACTGGTGGCTCACACGTGTAATCCTAGCTGCCTTCAGGAGGTAGATGTATGAAGATCACAATCCAAAGCCAACCCAGGCAGGAAAGTCAAAGAAACTCTTAGCTCCAATTAAGAACAAAAGGCCAGAAGTTGAGCTGTGGTTCAATTGGTAGAGTGTCAGCCTTGAACAAAACAAAACAAAACAAAAAAACTGGGATAGTACTCAGGCCCTGAGTTTGAGCCCCAGTAGCATCACACACACAAAAAAACAATTTGCCCACTTAATTCAGAACTGACTGTGATGAAGTAAGAGTGATATGGACAAATCATTTTCAAAAGTCCAGACAGGGAATGACAGTGTCTTGAACTAAGTTTGCAGCAGCAGGATGAGAAGTAGACTTGTGAGATATTTAGGAAGTAAAACTCAACAGATTTGATAAATGCCTATCGTTTTCCAAACATCAGCCCTCTGTGTCATTTCAGAGAAAACAGTTAGGGGCAGTTCCATCCCTAAAGCCCCCTTAATGTTGCAGAAGAACCTATCCCACAACTCCATTGACCTGATAGACTACCACTGATTCTATTGAAATGCTAACAAATTGTAAACAAGAGAAAGAGCAGAAGGACAAAGAAGAAAGATGTTAGCACTGAACTTATTTCATAGTCAATAGTCCCTTGATATCACTCTCTCAATAAGCTTTCAAGTTCAAAATTCAAAGTAAATGTGCTGCAGTAGAGTAGAACAGTAATTAGCTTCCCTGATAGTGTTTTAATTGTTGACAGTTTATTCCACTATTTTATAAGTGAGCCTTCCAGATTGTTTTGCTATTTAAGAAATGTGTTTTATAAACATTATCTTTTTAACTGACAATTTGGGTCCCGTGCTTTGGAGTCCTGTAGACATGGGTTTTAATACCTCTTAGCCTGTTACTTTTACAAAGCATGTTATTTGTGTGTCTGAAATTTGAACTCAAAGCCCCATGGTCTTTTTGTTCAAGACTGGTGCTCTACCAAAGAAGTTACACCTTCCCCTTTCTTCCGACTTTTTGCAAGTTAAATGCCTTATGAACTTTTGTTCCATGGCTGGTTTAAAGCCAGAATCCTCAAATCTTAGCCTCTTGAGCTATGATTTTAGATGTGAGCCACCAGCACGCAGCTGGAACATTATTTTTAGCCTTCATTTTTTGTGTGCCAGTCTGGGGTTTGACCTCAGGGCCTGAGTGTTTCCCCTGAACTTTTCTGCTCAAGGCTAGCACTTTACCATTTAAATCAGCTTTCTGCTGGTTAATTGGAGATAGAGTCTCACAGACTTTCATGCCCTTGCTAGCTTCAAACTGCCATCCTCAAATCTCAGCCTCCTGAGTAGGTAGGATTAACAGACATGAGTCACCAGTGCCTTAAAATATTTATGCCTCTTTTCTGTGAACCTTTCTCTTCCCTTCCACCATTGTTTATTCAGTGTCATTAACACTCCTTTCATTGTCAGTTTCTAGGCAAATTGGCTTTGAAATCTACGTTGCTTCCATTCTATCATCTTTCCAGCTGACTCAATCTGTTGAGCAATGGTAGTTATAATCTTTGATGGATTTGAGGTCATGATGACTACTCAAATACGATTTTCAATGTATCTGTACAGAGTATCTATTCTTGTTTTCCATTACAATAGAGTATTGAGTATTAGCTATATTGCAGTTTGACACTGTATGAATAAGACTGTTGCCATGTAGTAGTGGCTTACACCCATAATCCTAGCTACTCAGAATTCTGAGATCCAAAGGATTTTCATTCAAGGCCAATCCCAGGTAGCTACAACTGTGACACTCCTTCTCAAAAATAACCAAAAAGCTAGGCTAGGGGTGTTACTCAAGTGGTAGAGTGCCAGCCGTGAACCAGCAGGCCAATCAAGAGGCTCAGAGTTCAAAACCCTGATATTGAAAAAGAGAAAATGAGAACAAGAGCAAGAGGGGGGGGGAGAGAGAGAGAGAGAGAGGGAGAGAGTGTGTGTGTTTAGAGTCAGGTTCAGGCTGAAGCTTAATGGCTGATGCAATCTCAGCTACTTGGAAGGCAGAGATCATGAGGATCTCTGTTCAAGGCATGCATGAGTGGAAAGTTCATGAGACTTCATCTCAATCAATAAAATCTGGGAGCAGTGGTGTGTGTGGATCATTCCAACTACACATAAACATAAATAAATAAGAACATCATCCAGGTCAGCCTGGACATAGATGTGAGATCTTATTTTAAAAATAAAAAAAAACTAAAAGGGCTAGGAGTGTGGCTCACAAGACATAATTGTAGAGTACCTGACTTACAAGTATGAGGCCTTGAATTAAAAGCCCAGTACCATAGAAAGAAAAGAAAAGAAAAAGAGAAATGAGAGGAAGAAAGAAAAGAAAGAGAGAGAGGGAGAAAGAAAGAAAGAAAGAAAGAAAGAAAGAAAGAAAGAAAGAAAGAAAGGAAGGAAGGAAGGAAGGAAGGAAGGAAGGAAGGAAGGAAGGAAGGAAGGAAGGAAGGAAGGAAGGAAGGAAGGAAGGAGAAGGAGAGAAAAAAAAGAAATTGCTTTATTATAGCAAGCTTTGTCACCAAAAAAGGGGAATGAGTTTATTATAGGACTAAGACCATACAGGGCTGCGGCCAATAAAATCTCAGAAAATAATTTTTCATCTCCTCTAGTGAAAGTGTTCTAAGGCCTTTGTGTTTGGGAAGGTTCATTGATAGCCATTTACCAAGTGTCAATGATATTAGTAAGTATGGCTAAAATAGCAATACAATGGAAGAAATATTTAGGTTCTACTAAAGTGGAACACAGAATAAATTACATACTTGCTTCAATTTGCTTATGTGCAAAGTAGAGCTGCTCATGCACATTCTTTTTTTTTTTGTATTTACTTTTGAGTTGCTTCCTTTGCTCAAGGTAAGTAAATGCACATCATATTTTGCTGTACATAAAACAAAGCTGCAATCCCTCTCTGTACTGTGAAAGAGTTTCAGGTGAAAATCTCCATCTGCTTTCCGGCACAGATAGTCAAATTGCCTTAGACAGAGGTCTAAGGAATTTTATCCCTAGACAGGTCAAGTATGTTTATATCAAGATATTATGCTGATAGGCCTGTCCTTCCATTTTCTGTACTTTTCCTTACCCTCCTGCCTGCCCATGTGTCTACACAGGAACTTTGCAGAAAAGCAGTATATGTACCTCACATAGTATTCCTATCCCTACACAGAATCTACTTTGTGGATAGTGCTTAAATTCCAGAGCTGAAAAACATGCAAAGAAAACTTTGAATCTCACAGGCTCTTAGAAGAGCAGCTGTTTGCAGAGCTCTAGATAAAATCATGGGCCTCATCCTCTTGGTGTTTGTGGTGTTTGTATGTTTGCCTGCTTGTGGGATTATTGTGACTTTGCAAAGTATGGATAGATAAGAAAGGCTGGTTAGAAGCAATTCCAAACAAGAAGATGGGTAGAAAGGAGGATTAGAAATGACTTCAGGTTCCTGGGGCTGAGAGTTCCCAGAGCAAATGGCATGGTGCCACCAGGCCTAATCCACCCTTATGGAGGAATCTCAAAGGTTTCTGCAAGTATCGTATCGGCCACGGGTTTGGCTGTAGCTTAATTTGTTTAGGAGTCTCTGTCTTCTGCTTGTTCCTTTTGGCCCCGAAAAAGAACCCCTGGTAGCTATTAACTGGTATTTCTATCACTCAATCACCCCCCCCCGCCCCCCGTCAGGCCCCCTCAGCCCTCACAGCCCAGGGTCTGTTTGGGGATTGGATTATGGAACCAAATGTGATGAGTGCCATCCAACGGCCTTGTCCTCAAAATAAAGCTCCAGGTTAGAGCTTCCGCAGTGGGAGTTTCCCCCCGGTCTAGGAAAGTAGGTTTGCAATGCATGGAGTTCTCTGGGACTAGAGGAGCCCCTCCTGCCCTCACCCGTGTTGCGCCAACGCTCCTTTCCCCAAAGGCACCCCGGCGAGAGCTTGCGGTGAGGGGAGGGGAGAAGAGAAAGGGGAGGGGAGGGAGAAAGGAGGTGGGAAGGCAAGGAGGCCGGCCCGTGGGGGCGGGACCGAGTCGCTAACTGTTGCATTCGCTTTCCACCGCCCAGCGCCCCCTCCGAGATCCTGGCCAGCCAGCCTGCTGGGAGAGCCCGGAGGGTCCGGAGAAAACCTAGAGGCAGAGGAGGCGACGGAGGGAAAAAAGATTGGGTTAGCGCTTTGGTGCAGTCGAGGAGCAGAAGGGACGCACGACGCCGGCTCCGGCCGGGGCGACAGCCAACGCCTGTTGCAGCGCGGCGGCTTCGAAGCCGCCGCCCCGAGCTGCCCTTTCCTCTACGAGGAAGTTTTGTAAAAGCTGCTAGAGACTTGGAGGAAGCCTGGAAAGTGCGGGGTAGGACTGTCCTCTTCGTTTGTCTCCTTATCCCCTTTACCTCCCTTGCCTTCTCCTGGGTCTCCCCTGCTGCAGCTGCTTTGGCAAGCTATTCGCCGTCAGCCCCCTCCCCTCCAGTCCCGGTCGGCCCAACGCTGCCAGTCAATCTGCAGAGAGGTAACTCCCTTTGGCTGAGAGCGGGCTAGGCTAAGCTAAGCCCGGCACATTGCAAAGAAGGCTCTTAGGAGCCCCGGTGACTGGGAAGAGGATTCCAGCACTATTAGCCAGGGATCTGGCTCAAAAAGCAGCACGCCCTAGGGGTCCCCCTGGTTCCCCACAGTGCCCACACTTCTTTCTATCTCCCTCTGCACCACCCTCACCTTTAAGTGCGGAGCCAGAGATCTGAAGATGAAAACGCAGTTCCAGCTTCAGTAGGCAAAAGCAAAACCAACTACCAAAAAAAGCCAAAACAGGAAAGAGAGACAGAGACAGAGACGCAGAGATACAGAGACAGGGATCTTGGTTCTTATTTACACCTGCTTCCCTGGACATTGAATTTGGAGGACAACAGACTTTCCTTTCCCCTCCCCCACCCACGTCAAGATTTGAGCATCTTTCAAATAGTCCCCTTCAAGTATTCAAAGACTGACTGGAAGTCTAGCCGGTGCGTGTCCAGCTGGTGTCTTCTTGTGCAGAAGGCTTTGAGGCCGCCAGAGAGCCTTTTGCTTGGCGGTGGCGGTTGGGTCCTCCACCCCCTCCATACACCCCCTCCACACACAGTAAGTTTTCTTTCCTGGAGCTTCCTGCAGGTGGGCAGCTTGCTGCAGGCACTAACGCATCACTGCAGCCTGTTGAACTCTTCTGAGCTAGAGAAAGGGAGGCAGAATAAGGGAATTAAGTGGAAGATTCAGTCAAGCTCCAGGATGGAGGTCCAGTTAGGACTGGGGAGGGTCTACCCCAGGCCACCGTCCAAGACCTATCGAGGAGCTTTCCAGAATCTATTCCAGAGCGTGCGCGAAGTGATCCAGAACCCGGGCCCAAGGCAACCTGAGGCAGCGGGCACAGCACCTCCCGGATCCCGTTTACAGCAGCAGGAGACTAGCCCTCGGCGGCAGCAACAGCATGGTGAGGATGGCTCTCCCCAATCCCACCTCAGAGGCCCCACAAGCTACCTGGCCCTGGATGAGGAGCAGCAGCCTTCCCAACAGCACTCAGCCCCCGAGGGCCACCCCGAAAGCAGCTGCCTGTCAGAGCCTGGAGCCGCCACGGCTACCGGCAAAGGGCTGCCACAGCAGCCGCCAGAACCTCCGGATGAGAATGACTCAGCTGCCCCATCCACGATGTCCTTGCTGGGCCCCACTTTCCCGGGCTTAACCAGCTGCTCCGCAGACCTTAAAGACATCCTGAGCGAAGCGGGCACCATGCAACTCCTTCAACAGCAGCAGCAGCAGCAGCAGCAGCAGCAACAGCAGCAGCACCAGGAGGGGGTATCTGAAGGCAACAGCAGCGGGAGAGCAAGGGAGGCCGCTGGGGCATCCTCTTCCTCCAAGGAGAGTTACCTAGGGGGCAACTCGACCATATCTGACAGCGCCAAAGAGTTGTGTAAGGCAGTGTCTGTGTCCATGGGATTGGGTGTGGAAGCATTGGAGCATCTGAGTCCCGGGGAGCAGCTTCGGGGAGATTGCATGTACGCGCCACTCCTGGGAGGTCCACCCGCTGTGCGTCCCAGTCCCTGTGCCCCGCTGGCCGAATGCAAAGGTCCTCTTCTGGACGAGGGCCCAGGCAAGGGCACTGAAGAGACTGCTGAGTATTCCTCTTTCAAGGGAGGTTATGCCAAAGGGCTAGACGGCGAAAGCCTGGGTTGCTCTGGCAGCAGCGAAGCCGGGAACTCTGGGACACTTGAGCTCCCCTCCACACTGTCTCTCTACAAGCCCGGAGCCCTGGAAGAGGGGGCACCATATCCGAATCGCGACTACTATAACTTTCCGCTGGCTTTGCCTGGGCCACCGCCGCCTCCCCATCCGCACGCCCGCATCAAGCTGGAGAACCCGCTGGACTACAGCAGTGCCTGGGCTGCTGCGGCGGCGCAGTGCCGCTATGGGGACCTGGCGAACTTGCACGGTGGGGGCACAGCCGGACCCAGCTCCGGATCGCCTTCGACCTCCACCTCCTCTTCCTGGCATACTCTCTTTGCCGCCGAAGAAGGCCAAATATATGGGCCCTGTGGCGGGAGCGGAAGCGGCAGCGCAGGCGAGGCAGGGACTGTCGCCCCTTATGGCTACCCTCGACCACCCCAGGGGCTGGCGAGCCAAGAAGGGGACTACTCTGGCCCGGATGTGTGGTATCCCAGCGGCGTGGTGAGCAGAATGCCCTATCCCAGTCCCAGTTGTGTGAAAAGCGAGATGGGACCCTGGATGGAGAGCTATTCCGGACATTATGGGGACATGCGGTAAGTTTTTCCTCCCAGAAAATGTTGCCTTTGACCCGGGGCACAGAGTCGCTCGGTGTTCTGGTGTATCCAGCCACTTTTCCCAGCCAGAACCTTCTTACTGACCCTAGTACCGCTCAACTCTGTGGCACAGGAAAGGCTGCCCTAAATCTGAAACCTTTCTGGAGGACTTTGGCCTGTTCAAGTTAACACCGAGAGCCCCCTGAGCCACCCCACTCCCAGTCCTCAAGGCGCGCCCTGCGTGCTGATTTGTGCCTTTCCAGTTTGTTTGCTAGAAAACTCCCCCAACTGCCTAAAATTCTTGCTCCCTTCTAATACTCCTTGTCCCAGGGGTTCCAAACAAATCCGACTGCACATGTTAACTTTTGGAACTTTTTTTCCCCACCCAGAAGTCCTAGAAATTCACATAGAAATATGGGCAATTTCTCCTCCTTGCATCTGTTTTCGCCTTCGAGCCTGTGGCTGGTCTGAGCAAAAATAGACGTAAAAAGTCTGACCCAAACATTTCTCAGCCTGCCTCCTCCAAAGAGATAAAATGTAATTCCCGATTTGGAAAGATATAAAGTGGTTTGTGAGTGTCCAGGGTCCCTGTATAAAGCAGTACTACTTGCACCAGACTCATGCCCTTTTAGAGCAGGTACAGGGGCATCTGTGTTGGTAAAAACAAACAAAAACAAAAAACAAAAAACAGGCAGGATTTGCCTTTGCAGGTTTCTTGTCATTGTGACATTGGAAGTCGTTGTTTGGGTCGGTTTTCTCTTGTAAATTCTCCTCCCTCCCCCCAAAATGTGGATTAAAACAGATCCACAGCCTCCAGTTCAGTTTTGCATGGGATCTGTGAAGAGGAGAATGTACTTTAGAGGAACAATTTAACTAGGTTTCGGGCTGACTTATAAAAGTGTTGGAAGAATTTCTGTAAAGCATTTCCTGCTGTTTCGGTGTGTTCACAAATCTCTACTGGGGAGGCAGAAGTGGGAGTCTTCATTATAGCCCTACATTTTTAGGACCTGTGCTTATATTTTGAAACACAAATGGTTAGTGCTAACAAGTTGAATAAAAAGTGTTAGTGACCTGTGAGCCATAGTCCTTCCTTGCACGGTTTTAATTAGGACATGGGAAAACTGGTGGACAATTTCATCTTATTTATTAAAAATTCTCCCTCACTGCAGTATTTGAGTTTCCTGTAGAATATATTGAATATTTGTTTTCTTCCAGCCACTTAAGATATCACTTAATCTGGTGACAAGGGGAGGGGGATGGGGGACCGACCTGGAAATTAATTCCCCAGGTGGTTCAGGTGTTGACATCCCCATGGATTTATGTCTTATTCTGTGTTTCTAGAGCTGTTAATGTCTCCATTTGTTTTTCTGTTAGCGTCAACGTATTTGTTTGGTGATTTCAATCTAACAATTTGCCTCTTTTACTGATGCTTCTGTCCTAGGAAGTTTCAAAGCACAGTGTCAGGGGAATAAAAGAGAAGGATAGGATTTCATAAAATATCTTCAGTGTTCTTGAAGAAACAGCTCCTGGTCAACTTTTCCACTCCATTGGTTTCTTAAGGTTTGTCCTACAGGATTGTCAAAGGATTCCTATGAAATCGTTGAAATCATTTCTAGTTAGTGTTTATTTTTGTGATGGCTTATACTGTTGGATATACGATCTTCTTTATTTTATGGGAACAGATTTACTTGGTTCAGATTAATTTTTTTCAAAGCTTGACACTAGAGAGCAGAGTGTCTCTTTTACTGTAAACTTTTCTTCAGGGGCAGGAGTGGAAATGTCTAAGGTGCTTCCTAACCTATCATGATGCTAAACCCACTCACTGGAACCTTCTATCTTTGTTATCCACATTATGTCTTTCTCTCTAACTTAACAGGAAGCCAACTAATAGTTCCTTGTATTTGTTTAGGGATATATGCTTCTGAAAATACAACCTATATTTCCTTTGAGCAGCTTAAAATTGCTACATTCCTCAAGTGTGTGGTTAGCTTGCTGATTTTTAACACCAGATGCTAATTGAAAAATTGACATCTTTGTTAGGAAGACCACTATCCCTTGATAACTCCTTCACTCCTTTCAAATGAATGGGCTCAACTAGCAAGAATTTACCAGTACCCAAAAGAAGTAGATTATTTAATCTTGCCAGCTTTGTGATTGCTTCACTGCTTTTAAGGATTCTAGTTAAAAGGAAAACTGGCATTCCTGTTTTGTAGGTTGACAAATAGTTTCCGTTTCTAGAATATAGAACATTGTTGAGTTTGTTTATTAGAAATTAACCAACTTAACCAAAACAGCTAATCCCACTATAAAAGTTTAAGTATTTTCTTACTCTCTTTTCTCTCACTTATTTTAGGGGTACGTTTTGACAAAAGATAAGTTTATTTTTCCTGAGAAAGCCAGAGCATCCTCTCCCTGTGTATTGTATGCAATACATACTAACTTTGAGTTTTTAAAAAAAATCTCAAAATTCCAGAAGCTTTCAGTAACCTATTGTGTTCCTTCATTTCACAATTATGTGTTTGTTTACACACTTAACTTAGTGGACTGATTTAACTTTAGTAACTTCTGCTAAGTCCATGTTCTTATATATGAACAATGTTTCTACCTCGAAAAAAGAGAGAATCTGTTTTGCCTTCATTTAGCCTGTGTTTTGAACAGAGGGACAGCTGAAAAGTCCTGGGATTGTTTACAGCTCTAGTGATAATTTTGTAGAGCTATCGTCTCTCCTAAGTCAAACAAGACTGCAACATTAATTGACCACTAGCCCCTTTGTATTTCAGCAGATGACCCAAGAATATAGGAAACTTTTTTTTATTGACAGTTGGGTCTTAACAGGAACCCACTGTAGAAATTAAGGTGGGGGTTTTATAATATTATACTATGAACATTTTAGTTGTTCTCTTGGTAGAGTGTTCTAGTCTCCATAATAGGTAGTATTTGAGTAATCGAGACCTCCTTTTAGCTATTGTCTTTTTTTCCAAAATATAGTATTCTTTTCATCTCCACTCCTCTCTCTAGCAGCTTTTTATGACAATCTTACGTGGAGCAGTTTGTTTTGAAAAGCAAAAATTTTGCTTTGGGATCAAGTGAGATACTTTCTGTCCATAGGCTTTGAGGATCAGGATGTTGGAAATCGGCAGTCTCTCTTTCTGCTATCCTCAAATGGCTGGTCAGTTCTGTCTGAATCTCAGTAATCAGAACCTGAGGACCGAAGAGCCATGTTAGGAGACCCCCATTTGTAGGTATCCACAGAGTGTAGTCATGGAAAGCCCCTCTTGCTTGTTCATAGACTTAATCTCTCTCAGCTCTGCTCAAGGTTAACATCAGTGGGAGATGTTTTCAAAAGAGCTTGCAGCCTTCCAATTGCAGGGTCAGCTTAGGGTGCTTTCTTGCTAGTGCTAATTTTACCTCATCAGACATTCATTCTTTGAGCTGTAAACTTTGAAATAACATATTGAATTTGCTGGCACATTTAATTTTCTTTGTTAAAGGTTTTAACACACTGTAAAAATACTCTCATCTGGTGGACATATACACATTTAAAATAAAGAATTCTTTAGTGTCTTACTCACACACATATAATAGATGCTCCAGGTGGGATCATGGGAATTGGACAGAGAATATTATTGTTGTTGTTGTTGTTATTATAACTGTTACTAGTGGTAAGATGGAGAGCATGGCTTTATTTGAAACTCTGCTGAAAGCAGGGAGTAAATTCAGACTGGATGTGACAATGAAAAAGGCTTATTTTACAGTTAAATCTGAAACCATGATTCTAAAAAAATCAAACAAAAAAGTCAAGTTTTATGAGGTTGGTTAGAGAGGGAAAAGGAAATCACTCTCCACGCTCCCTCTCCTCCTCCCCCATTCACCATTTTCACTTTATCTGCAGCTCCCTCCTCCAGTACTATCCCCGATTTTCTTTTATTCTACTCCTTTCATGCTTTTGACATTGAAATATAGACTCTTCTTTCTACTTTTCAGAACATTTTTCTCATTACACCTGTGGCATGCTCCTAAAGAGTTCCTTTAAAAAATATCTGGAGAGGAAAAATCAGATCAACCCCAGCACCTCTCAAGACTAGATAACATGAAGGGATTGCAAAATGAATAGCTGGCTTTTTTACCTTGAAGTGAGAGCCCAATTCAACAGTGGCTGAGGGAATTATAGATGGTTTGAGAATTTTACGATTTAATGAAATATTTGGCAATCTACTGTCTCTGTCTCACTCTCTTGGTCTCTGTCACTTTCCATCTACTAGCCCTAACAAAAACACCTCTCAAGACCCTGAGAATAATAGGACTCTCTCCCTTTCCAGAAAGCTCTATCTAGTTCAGACTGAAGCAGTGCTGTCACGATAGAACCTAATCTACATTGTGGTACTTCCTAGAAGTGGGTTCAGCTAGGCCCAACTGCTCCATTTTATGCAAATCAGTCATTTGAAAACAAAAGACATTATTAAAGAGATGATCTTCAGACTTGCTCTTCCTGATTCCACCAGGTTCCCAGATGTTAATTCACAGTAAGCTATCTTCATTCTATATACAGAGTTTACTTTCTTTTGATTGCTTGTAAAGGTCTGTACAGTTACCAGCATTAGTTTTACTTCATCGTTGGGAAGAGAATTATTAAGTCTTATAGTTATGTAGCCCTCTTTTTCTTGTATGTGCCAGTCCTGGGGTTTAAACTCAGAGCCTGGGTGCTGTCCCTGAGCTTTTATGCTCAAGTCTAGCACTCTACCAATCAAGCTACAGGTCTACTTCTGGCTTTTTGCTGGTTAATTAGAGATAATAACCGTTCAGAATTTCCTACCTAAGCTGGCTTTGAACCACAATCTTCAGATCTCAACCTCCTGAGTAGCTAGGATTATAGGCATGAGCCACTGATGCTGACGCATAGCACTCTTTTTAAAGGAAAGATCCAATGTTCTCTGGTTTATTCACCAGTAATCAACATAAGTTAGAATATGTCAGGAAGGGACTTGTTGATAACTTCTTTA